GTTACTTGACACCTCTGACTAGGAGGTATATGACAGTATATGTATACATGCTTACGTCCTGTGAAGTAATTGAGTTCCAGCAGTAATTTAGATGTTTTGTGTTTTTAATCTTTCTGTAATTTTGTCACAACGAGGTAAAGACAAAACTAAATCTTTTACAAAATAAACGCATTTTGCCACACCCTGACAGGTACTCTCATGTCCCAACAGTAACCTTGATGCCGCTCTCCCATCCTCCTGTTTCTCTCCTCCAGAGCTGCTGCAGAGTGCCTCCTGTGATCCTAAAGCCAGCGAGCAGAACTCCACCCTGCGGCGAGAGCTCAAGCAGTTCTTCGGCTGGCTCCGAAAGCACGCCTACAGCTGCAGCGGCCCGTCCATCAAACAGTACGACCAGTGGAGAGTGTGGCTGCAGAAACCCCACAAAGCCCGCATCCAGGTAGGTAAGCAGAACCTTTATCCTTCAGCACCCACTGCTCACAAACACTGATGCTGCACCAGAATCCACAGATGATTTCTTATTAGGAGGGAAAGGGAACCATTTGATTTCAATCTGCATTTAATGATCAGGTAAAAATGTGAGGTTTAGACTCTGTTAAGCAATCTGTTTAATGAGCGGATTTCAGCTGATCACCACAACAAAGAGGACCAAACATGTAAAATGTTATTAAGTCTGTTGTAATGAGCTCCTTTTGTTTTCTCTTGGCACCAAAGTCCTGTCTCAGAGCAAAAGTTAAAAAAAAAGGGGGGGGGGGGGGCAAAAAGAGGCAGAGAAAAGTGGCTGCCAGACTTTTGTTTTCTCACTGAATCATTCCAGTTATAATTTGCTTTTGTCTTTTCAGCTTGTCCAAGGCGATAAYTCATAACACGTTGAGATCACCACCACAAAACACAGACTGAAGAACTGGAGACTACCAGCTGACAGATTTGTCCCGAACAACTTAGCACCTGTGTGGAAAACGTCCCTGACATAAAGTAGCCTGAGCCTGCTGATCTTACTGTTAAAATCTGGTGTTTGTTTGCAASAGAAAACAAAAAATTCAGGCCTGAAATGATGACTCATCATGTTCGCTTTCTCTGAAATGAATCTTAAGATGAATACCTTAGTTTAAAATAAACTCTATTAAAGGAAGATATTTATAAAGTACTGGTTG